CAGTGTGTGACAGTGCTGGAGTCTCTGCAAGAAGAGGCCTCTGCGAGGCCAAGAGACCCTTGAGAGCCATTGCATGAGGCTTTGAAAGTGAAGCCTTGGTTATAGTGGTGACAGGAAAATGTTGGATATGGCAGAAGTGTAAGACATCTTCTAAAGAGAGCTGTATATATGGAGTGGAACAAGACCAAGAGAGACTCACATATTAGAATGTTTGGTCCCTGGTTGATGGTGTTGTTTGTGTGTCGGGGGGGATATGGAAACTCAAAGAAATGGAGCTTTACTGGAGGGAGCATGTCAATGGGAATGGGCTTTGAGGGTTCATAGGCTCACCTGCTTTCTAGTTGGTTCTCTCTGCTTCCTGTATGTGGCTGAAAATGTAATGTCAGCTTCCTGCTTGGGCCACCATGCCTACCCTGCCATTGTGGACTCTCCATCTGGAGCCATAAGCCAAATAAACTCTTTCTTCCTTGAACTGTTTTTGTCATGGTGTTTTGTCACAGTAGCAACAACAATAACTTATATAAAACCACAAAGGGTAAACCAGAGTTGGAGTCAAAGTGATGGGCAGGCTTTCTAACCTCAAATAGAGACCAGAAACTGGGGCCTGAAGTACTGGCACAACACCTAACCTCAAATGATTAACCAGAACTGAGGCTTTGCTAGATTTTTTTTCATTTCTTGTAGTATTATAGACTTTTTGCTCCAGAAGTTCAAGGGTGGTTTTGAGAATATCCTTCATCTTTCCCTTGTCAATTTTTCCCTCTCTATCTTTTAAGGCGGGCAAAACAGAGTTCCGGTTGTTCTAGAGTCATTGTCAACTAATTCTAATGCCTGTATTGTCAGCCCCAAGTCACTTTTGACTGACTGATTCTACTCTCAGATTCATTTTCATTTTCCCCTTTCTTCAGATGACTGGTCATTTTTAATTGGATACCAGGCATTGTGAATTGAACTGTTTTTATATCCCCATAGGAATTCATTGCATCCAAAATGTGGTTAAGTTATTTAAAACTGATTTGGTCCTTTTGAGTCTCCCTTATTTTATGGGTTAGTGTAGAGCAGCAATGTATCGGAGCCAAATGTTGCCTCCTGGCAAGCCAGATCTTTTTGTAGAACTCCGTAAAGTAGTCTATAAATTACAAGGTTTATCCATCTGTCTTGTGGAGACAGGTGTTATCTTCAGCTTTTTGAGGCCATCTTCTGAGATCCAGGGGTCCCTTAGTGACATCCTATTAAGAATTATTTAAGTGTCTCAAGCCTGGAAATAGTGAGTTGGTTATGTTGAAACACAGGCTAAGCTCTCCCCACCCTTATCCCTGCCTGGCTGAACTTCCTGAACATGAGGAAGGCAAGTAGGGAATCACATATAAATTCAACCAGAGTCCTATTTCTGTTGGCTCCAAGCATTCTTAGTATCATAGTATATTCCTTCACTCCATGGAACACTGGAATCTATAGTTTTTGGCTCACTTCTCTATCAGTTACCTATTATAGGCAGTGTGTTAGTTTGTTTTTGTTTCTATGTATATCCCTGGCTGGCCTGAAACTCACTATATAGACAAGGTTGCCTTCAAATTTATAGAGATCCACCTGCCTCTGCCACCCAAGTGCTATGATCATAGATATATACTACCACACCTAGCACTAGTTGGTTATTTTAAGCATTTTATAGTGCTGGCAAAGTCTAAAGAATATATGCTGCATACAGTCAGGTCTCCCTAACACGGGTGAATCTGTGAACACAACCAACAGCAGATCAAAAGTTGCATCTGTACCAAACATATAGAGAGTTGCCTTTATTATTCCCTGGATGATACAGCATAACATATACTCATCTAGTACTTGCATTGTGTAAAGTATAAGTATCCAAATATGGTTTAAAGTTTACATGAAGGTGTATTAGGTTATAGGAAAAGATGGTGTCATTTTATGCAAGGGAATAAGCATCCCTGTTTTTTGATGTCTCCTGTATAATAAGGGGTGACTGTACCAACCCTTTTCATTCCTCTTTTTCTTTACTCTTTTCCGGACCTTGGCTCTCCCTATGTATATTCAGACAGTCACAGAGCTTATTGCACACTCAAGTGGCACAGCAGGACATCTAAACTCCCAATGTGGGCCTTTCTCATTTTTAACAGCACCTGCCTGTAGTTAAAAAAAAAAATAGCCAAGAGGGTGAACTCCTGGTTCTACGATTTGGAACTGATGTCCTTCTACTCTCATTCCTTAACCCTTCCCACTTTCATCAAAACTCCCACTGTCACCAACATGACCACTTTCTCTTGTTGAGTCCTCGAGAGTTTTCAAATACAGAGTGTTCTTTACCTACTGGAACATTCTAGCCAATCTGTACGTGTATATGTGACCTAAGAAGAAGACAAATAGAGACCTTTGTCCCTTCTCTGAGGATCATGATTCTAGTCCCAACTGACAGAAGGAATTGAGTTGTAGGGAAGCTTTGACAGATCCAGAAGGAACAAATGGAAGCAAATGAGTGCCAGGTTTTTGGGAGCACTGCCTGTGAGTGGCATGAACTGCTATATGCCAATTCGCTTTTCTGCACCAGCTCATGAGCAAAGCAATATGATGACGAGAAAGGCAAAGAATGCTGTGAGATACAGGAACCATGAGCACCACTGGTACCAATACTTACATTAGCTACTTACATTGTCTTGTTTTCTTGCACAGAAAGAAGCAAAATTACTCAGAATTTCAACATCAGCTGTTGCATACAGGGAAGGGCCTGCAAATTTACTTGGATGGTTATCAATGTTTCTTTGGATCTTGCTGTTTCCCAGCTGAGACTGGTGCTTCTTCCTTATGTCAACAAGTATCAGGCATTCCTGCAGCTGCCAAGTGAAGGCAAACAGGAAGGGAACTGATTTCTCCCAATTGTAGTCAAGTGTTTTGGGGCCTGGGGGAAAGCAGCTACCTTCTTTTTAATACCTTGGGTTTGTAAATTGGTGAAGTATCCTGTCCCGAGCGAGGCCCAGGAGAAAATTCTAAGTTGTAGCTCATTACAGACTGGGGATGCCCAAGAATGAAGGCATAGAGGGGGCAATGCTGGAGGGATCACAAGGGAAGCCCACGGGGAAAGGCTTGTCTGAGGAGAAGAGGGCACAAAGCTTACATGCAGAGACAGCCTGTCTTTGAACTGCAGCTCTGCACTCAACAACTGAGTTATTTAAGATGAATTAGACTGTCTTCTCCCTAATGCTGGGTTCCTTTTTCCTACAAGGGATATTTTAGTTTTACTTCAGAGACTTAGAATTAAATTGATTAACATTAACAATTAGTATTTATGAGGCTTGGTACAGCCAACATTTCTGTGTGTTAAATATAAAAAGTCAGAAGTCAAAATGGCACTTGACAGATACTGACTCTTGTTAATGTAAGCAGAACTAGGCTTTTTAAAGAGAAAATTCGACAATGCATGGGATGGTTACAAGGAGCAGATGGGTAGGTCATAGTGCTGGTGCCACAAAGCCCCCACAGACAAGCAGGGCAAAAGGTTGTTGTCCTTGGAAGTGGGAGGGAAATGCCTCCACTCTCCCACCAGAAATTCTATAGCCTTCCTACTTTCACAAGACACTCACCTCTGATTCCTTGTTTTGGGACAGGTGGAGGCTGCTATCTGCAGTTAGGATCATATTTGTGGGAGGGTAGGCTAAGGCTCACCTTACAGTTGCAAAAGTTTCTCTGATCAGTAGGAAGCACTACCTCACAAAGTTGGAGAATCATAGTGAGAAATCAAAAAAAAAATATTAATTGGTCTGGAGCACTGTGATGGCTAGTCTTACCTATGTACTTGAATACATCTAGAATTAACTAAAAACCCAAGTGGCTGGGTATATCTGTGAAAGATTTTTTCTTAAATCATTTGAAGTGGGGAAGACCCACTTTTAATCTGGATCTTTTGAAGCAGGAACCACCTATAATCTGGACCACACCTTCTTCTGGCAGCCTACAAAAAGGACATGGACAAAGGAAGCTTGTTCTCCTTGCCTGTTTGCTCTCACTGGCCAGTCCATTCATTACTTCTTTGGGATTCAAGAGTGGACTGAAGACCAGCTGAGCCATCCAGCCTTGAGGACTGAACAACTACTGGATTCTTGGACTTTCTGCTGTTAGACAGCCATTGTTGTACTAGCCTGTAAGCCAGTCTAATAAATCCCCTACACACACACACACACACACACACACACACACACACACACACACACTCATTCTATCAGTTCTGTTCCTCTAGAGAATCCCAAGTAATACAGGCACCAAGGAAGAAGGATTATTGCATTAAATGAATGAAACATCAGATCCCCATGCAAGGATAAACAATCACAGGCTATGTACACATTTTTATTGATCAATTCTGGGTGAGTTCCTGAAAG